AAAAGGAGTTTGTGTTTGAGAAAGGGTTTACGATTTGAAGCCTTTTTTGTGTGTGACTTTCCCCTTCTTCACGTTTTCTCTCGTGCCTAGTCTCTTCTTGTTAGGTATTGTTCGACTTAGAGGTAGCGGGGTAACTTTTAGCGGTCTAGTAGCGAGTATCGATTAGGTTAATGAGTAATTATTAATTTGTAATGAATAGAGATTAACTGTTAAAGTAACGGTTAATAATATGAATATTATGCAAAAGTAGTGGTTTAAATATATTTGAATTCATGCATATATTGTTTAAAAAGTAACCAAAATATGATAAATGCTACCCGTTATTCGTAAACGCTAGTCCTCTACGGCTAAGGCACTAGTCACTACTCAAATCAGTGGCTAAATATTCTTACTTGTGTTAAAAAAAATAACTCTTACTTGTTTTCTAGTACTCCGTAATCTGTAATGTTTAGATTGGTCAAAACACTACCGCCAAACAGAGTCTTAGGGATTTTTTTTTTTATTTTGGCATTACTCTTTAAAATTAGAAAATATGAAGTACAAAGCATTCTTCTGAAGGGTCACACAGCTGAGTAGCTCACAGTACACTATCTCCTTGATAACCTCCGGTCTCCGGCGAGAAGCAGGAGAAGGTTGGCCTGAACTAGCCCTCTTGCCGGGAAATAGTGTAGCCACTGAATATCAACTAAGCATAGGTATTTTCTTGCTGTCTTTTTTGTGCTAATTTCTGAATAAATTCATCATAAATTATAATAATTTTGTTGCAAATTACTATCATTATGTACTGTAATTTGTCTAAGAATCAAGCTCTGCCTATGGCATTAAGGGTTTCTTCACAACCCAATTCACTTCACACCTCAAAGATTCAATTTTTATCACAAGGGGTTTATCCAAAACCCTCTTTAAACCCTAATTGTACAATTTTTGCTGCTCCTCTTTGTGGGTCTTCTCAAAGAGCTCATAACACGATTCAATTTCTTAAACCCACAAAAAATCTGTTGAGTTTTGGTAAAATTTGTGTTGAATTTGGATTGCCAAAGTGTGAATTTAGGGGAATTAGGAGTTTATCAAGTTTGAATAGTGCTGCTGAGGATAGTGGTGTGGTTAGAGGTGGAAATTCTTTGCCTTGGTTAGATGAAAGTAAAGTGAGGGAGTCGAGTAGGCCGGAGAGGCCTGAGAGAGTTGTGAAAGCGAAAGTCGGAAGTAAATCTTCCTGGGAGGTTTCAGCTGAGAAGTTTCTTCAGAAAAGTGGGAGCTCATCAGTTCAGGATGAGAAGAGGGGGAGCAGGCCGGTTGACGTGGCAGAAAACTGGCATAAGCCGCGTTTTGAAAGAAATGATAATGTTGAGGAAAATGGTGATGAGAGGAGGAGGAGCAGGCGGGTTGACGTGGAAAAAAACTGGCAGAAGCCGCATATTGAAAGAAATGATAATGGTGACGAAAATGGCAATGGTGATAATGATGTGATTGATGATTCTAGATGGAATAAGATAAGGACTAGGGCTAGTAGAGTAGTGAATGCTAGAGTGGGTTTTGAGAAGCCAGAGGTGCGAAGGTGGAATAAGCAAGAAAGCTGGGGTAAGAAGACATTTAAAGAGGCAACTGAGTCGAGTGTTCCAAAGATGATCGGGGAAGGGGTGTACGGGGTTGGACCAGTTTTGGCTGCTTTAACTGCTGGAAGAAGAGAATTCTATACTCTCTATGTTCAGGAAGGACTAGAGTTGAGTAAGAATAATAAGAAAAAGAAGGATAAGAAGGGTTTTGAAAAGGTGTTGAAGATTTCAGAGAAGATCGGTTTAAGCATTAGAGAGATTTCCAAGCATGATCTCAACATGGTCAGTGATAACCGCCCACATCAAGGTCTTGTGCTAGACTCTTCTCCATTAGAGATGGTGAACATAAAGGAATTGGACCCTGTCTCTGTTGAACAAGACCAGGGTGTTCTTTGGGTAGCTTTAGATGAGGTCACTGATCCTCAGAATTTGGGAGCCATCATCCGATCTTCATATTTCTTTGGAGCATCAGGGGTGGTACTATGTAGGAAGAATTCAGCTCCTTTAAGTGGTGTGGTGAGCAAAGCCAGTGCTGGTTCACTTGAGCTGATGGAGATTAGATCTTGTAAGAACATGATGCAATTTTTGACATCGTCTTCTGAAAATGGTTGGCGAGTTCTTGGAGGTTCGGTTGCTTCTAGAGCTGTTCCCTTACGTGAGATTGCACCTGGAGAACCCACTATTCTTGTTTTGGGGAGTGAAGGAACAGGTTTGAGGCCTCTTGTTGAGAGGTCATGTACTCAATTGGTGAGAATTCCGGGAAATATTCCCATGGATATATCACTGACAGGAGTTGAGGATAATGTGGAAGCTGACACGGAGAATAAGCTGTCTGCTGAAGAATTTCAGTCCTTTATGGCCGTGGAGAGTTTAAATGTCAGTGTTGCAGCAGGTGTTCTTTTGCATCATTTGATTGGAAACAACTATTCAAGCGACAGCCAATCCAACCATCAAATTGACTTGGATTCAGATGCCCTTGATTAAGCATAGAATTTGGCCTTCAATTGTAAGTCATATGCTTATATTTGCTTGTATCCTTGCCAAATTTTGTTAATCAGTAGTAGTTCAGGGCATTTTTAGTGTTTTCTATGTTTAAAAAGAAACACAATTTGATTAGTGGGATCTATATGAATTTTGTTATTCTGATAAGCTTAATTTGAGAATTATACTTCGCAGTATTTACAATGACCCCCCTGCATCAAAATATATACAAAAGTAATTATTATGCCCCTTGTAGGACCTTATTTTCCATCTCTCTCTCTCTCTTAAAGAACCAAAAGAAAGGGGGGAGATAGAGTAACAGATGAGATGCCTATTGTGCTATGTTATGCATATTTCAATCATCGAAAATCTAATTTCTCTACCAATGTTGAGCAGGTTGCATTTCTGCCCTTCTGGGTTTTACTTTGACTTTGTTGATTCTTCCTTTCCCAGTAAATATGACTGGAGTAGCATATGTATTAATGTATATGATGCTACAGTGCTACTACTTTCCTATATATATCGGACCTGTAACACAAGAAACTGGTATACAAGGGAGTTATTATTAGTAGACCTCATGTGTAGTTAGTTTAGAAGGGTCAAACTAAGCTTGGACCAATATATATTCACTATTTAATGATTTGAAGCTTGACTTTGATTTGAATGCAACTAGAGTTTGTTCAAATTTCTTCTTGAGGCGACAAAAATAACCTTAGACACAAGCAGAGCTTAGATACTCCCTTGAACCTGGTTTATTGATAATGGGCGCTTGATTTGGGCATATGATTTAGTGTTGACAAATGTCGAATGCAACTAAAGTTAGTTCAAATTTCTTCTTAAGGTGACACACTAAAACATGGACGCAAACAGAACTCGGATACTCCTTTAAACTTGGTTTTATGATTAAGGGCACTTGAATTGGGCATATGTTTTAGTGTTCACAAATGTTGATGACTTAGTGTGAGGCTACTGTGGCCCTTGCTTTAGACCTTGATTATTATAAAAACTCTTGATCTAATATGCATGGAAAGAACAACTTGGAGTAGTTGCTAGCTTCCTCAATATAAAATCCTTGATGCTTAAGCAGTTGCATGAAATCTAAGTTTTGTAATATGTCGTTTCCTTTATCATGTGAGTAAATGAGCATTTTCTATTGGGAGACAAAAAAAAAGGTCCAAGCTGACAAATAAAAGCACATCTTTGTTTCCATCTTTAGGATTCTGGAATAATGTTAAGGGTCCCCTAAATGCATGCAAGTTTGTGTTATCAGGCTAATAGCTAAGGTGAGGCATGGAGAACTGTGGAAAAAATGAGCAAATGCTTCTATATGATAGTCATTAGTTACATATTGAAGCCAATTTTACCATTTTGTAGAATCGAACGATCCTACGATTCGATTCTACCCCACTCACCGATTCAAGGTAGAATCCTGATTCTGATAACTATGATTCAACATGTTTAAGAAATTATAAGAAGCATAGATGCTCTGATAAAGGTGTGTTATGTTCATCAACTGTCAGTATAAGAGTCAAGATTTGTTGAATCAAGTTTGAGCTTAATCTCTCATGGAGAAGTAATCCATTGTGCGTCAGCTTCCTTGATTTCAAGAATATCTCACAGTTAAGTATAGGGTAAAGTGGTAGTAGGCCAATTCCAAAATTAAGTGGATATATAAAGGCTATAGAGCTGAGAGAAATTGCATAAAACCCAAAGATTATATTGACTGGAGCTGTATATATTTCTCATTATTTGAAAGCAAAGTCGAGTAATTTAATAACTTGGGCTATGCTGATCCTCATAGGAAGCAGATAATAGTTGAACAGCAAGCTATGCACAACCAGCTTATTTCTCTATTTACAAGTCATTTAACCTTTTTTCAGCTGTATCACTGTATCAGAGCAAGCTGTCTATCAGGGACTTATTCAACCTTCTGAATTAAGGAGTTATGCTTTTGACTCCCTGCTTAAATATATTGTGAGTTAGTTACTTGATTATCATAATCACATGCTTCTACTTTTCTTTTTTCTTTTTTCTTTTTTTTTTTTTTTTTTGATTGAATTATGTACATGAATGATGTTTTAAGACCTCATTTCTCTGATATGTTTAAGAGGAACCGTTTCAATTTAAAATATTCTACGATTTTTGGAATTACATCTGAAACAAACTCTTTGTTAGATGTTAGCAGCCTGGCCTGTTGAACCAATCTTTGGATCAGTAAGAGTTCAGGAAATGAGTGGCCATTTGTGTGTTTTGGCCCTCTCCTACTAGGCCACACTTAGAGAGTGACAAGAGAGAAATACCTCAAGCTTGATATTGCTCTAAACTTGTAACTTTGTCTTGCCTTTAATACCGTTATAATCACCGTACTTTTATTATGTACCCTTAAAGTAGTGATAATTGATTTTTCCTTTGATACGGAGATATGGTAATGACAGATATTTTGATGGATTGTTCTTGCTATGAAAGGGGAAAGGTGATGTAAGTATGTAACCAGTGAGTCTATACATCATTCGGTCATCATATCCCTGTTGTCTGAATCCAATATATATGTCTTAAAGATGTCTCTCGTTTTTATATTGCAATTAATCTTGTGACTGTGTACCACTCAGTGTCACTGTGTAAATTCTGTAAAACCATTTTGTGCACTATACATGTTCTTTAACATATGTAGGACTGACAACATAAGTTCAACATTCATTAAAAGTTTATAAAAGCTTAAGACAAAATCTAAACAACTACGTTAATACATATTAAAAAGAAGTTTTAATGAAATAAAGACAAAGTATTCAAATGATAAAAAAGTGTTAACTATAAAATTAAGTATAAAACATAAACATTGCAACTTCTTATCACTGGTTTCAACCATATCTTCGAGCGCATTCTGAGCAACTTATATGTTCACAATGCTGAATTCCAGGGTTTTCATCATCTACAAAAACATAAAAGAAAACATTTTAACTTTTCAATTAGAATAAGTTTCAAAAAGTGAAAATATATGCTAGTATTACATTGGTTATACACTTATACTTGAAAATTAATAATAAATGTCCAAAATATAAAATAAACTTGTTAACCATATCAACAAAATCAATCTTGCAGCAATGAATATCATCATTATATTCGTATGATGTAGATGCGAAGAATCTCTTAGGATCATTGTCAGTGCCTTTGATTTTGGCCCAAAAATTCATGTGATGGCCAAAATCATCAGGATCATCTGGGGATTGAGTTAGTGTCAATCCACCAAGACGATGGACATACTCGTAATCAGATCCCTGTTATTTTTATTAAATAATAATTAGAAAATAAAGATACAACATTAAAAAAAATCGGAATAAGATAAGAAAAATTACATTTTCACTATCATATACTGTCAAAGCACGTTCAGCATCCATGCGAAAATGGTCTTTTAAAACCTTCGACCAATCGCCTCTTGCAAGTAATAACACGTAGTTTTGACTATAATGAAAAATAAAAAAAAATTAAAACCCAAAAAATCAGGTCAATAAACAAATAATAAAATAATTACTAATAAAGTGAGAAACATACAATTGAGGTTGTAAACGATGCTGATTTCGAGAAATGTACCTCGCCGCTGCATAAAAAAACAATAAGAATTTGTTTAATTCACTAAAATCCTAACAAAGAAGACATGGTTTCATAAAATCATAACTCCATATTAACATCAACATTTTTGGTTCATTCTTAAAACGAATTTTATTTCTCCTTATGTACTGTTTGATTCACTTTAAAATAGATTTTCTTTTAAATTTGATATATATCAAAATTGAATATTAATTTTGTTAAGGTGAAAAAAAATACAAATTTCTAAGCAATAAATTAAACATAGACCTTAATCTTATTATCAAGAAAGTTTGTCGTTAGATCACATTAAAAAATATGTTTATGGCCGGATAAAGGGTATATTTGATGTCACATTTTCTCTCCTCCTCCCATTCTAGTGTGACTTTCAAGAGTAAGAGATTGATTCTAGGGATTCAGAAACAATTATTAGGGTGTTAAAAAATCTATCTAGACATAAAAATGCCACAAAATATAGAGTGAGATTAAGGGTTTACTTATCACTGATGTCAATGATGTCACTAATGTCACCGATGTCACTATCAGCTGGCCAACTGCAAAATGAATAAATCCATATTAGAATTTCAGGAAAAAAAAAATTAAATTCGTATAAAATCAGAGAAAAAGAAACCTAAGAGAACTAAAAATTTTGGTCAAATTAACAGATTGAACAAAAAAAATTAACCGGATAATTAATCCACATTAAAAAAAAAATTATACAAAATTGATAGATGCTCGAAAGAAATCAGAAAAAATAAACCAAAGGGACGAGGTTAAGTAAAAATTTATAGTCATATAAACATATAGAACCAAAAAAAGAAATTACGATGGTGATGGCAATAAGGGGACGAGGGGAGTAAGATACAGGGAAGATAACATAACATGGTTCAAATAGAATCGTCAATCAATTGTCAAAAACAATGAATAATTAATTAAAATTGGAGAAACAAACTATCAAATCAGAGTAATAAGCCATAAACCCAGAATTGAAATTGAACTCTCATCTATCATGTCTCCCCATACTTATCTGGTGATTAATCGCCTTTCACCTCTTACTTATCTTGCTTGAGGTACTAGTCATATTTCACTACCTACTATAATGCTGCTTCCCAAATATCATTCCCTATAATGCATAAGAACCATTGTCCAAAATAATAAATAATCGTGCAATTCAAAAAAGGGTAACATGTTTGACTCCCATTCACATCAACTAATTTGAGAAAGATAAGGTAGAAGTTCTCTCCTTGCACCATTTGAAATCATCAATCATTTATATTAAACCAAATCAAATCCAATAAATTTGTAAAATCAAGCTAGAACGAACGTCTCCCTTGCAATACTTCCACTAAGATAGTACAAAATTGTAATCCCAAATCAATGAAAGTGCACATACATACTATGTAATATTCATTAAAAATCCATTTTAACACTCCCTTCAAAACTTATTTCGAACAAATTGTATTAAAAAAAATACATTTACAACCCAAAGAAATATTAATTTAACAAAAATACATCTTGCCAACAGATAAAAGTAATAGACAAATCCATCAAACCACCACATAGCATTAAAGGTTCATAACGTACTCCACATTGACATACTCAAAAGTTGAAATGCCTAGTCCTACTGGCCCATCATATACAACGATCAACAAAACAAAGATTCATGACCATAGCACGTTTAATTTGCTATTACAAACACCACAAAAACTTATATGTGGCTGGCCACACGGTGTGGCCAGCCACTATAGGGGTTACTTTGCTAGTGTAATGGGGGTTACTTGATCAGTGTTAAAGGGGTTACTTCATCATTTTTATAGAGTTACTCGGTCAGTGTTATATGGGTTACTTGATTGGTATTACAAGGGTTACTTAATCAATGTTATATGGGTTACTTTAAGTGGTCAAACGGTGTGACCGGCCGCACACAAGATGAGCTCTACAAACACAAATTCAATGTAATGCAATCATTCAAATAGTCAAACCAAAACTTCCATATTAAAATTTTGGTTAAATTAACAATCTGTACAAAAAAAAATTTAACCACGATAGTAAATCCATATTTGAATTTTAAAAAATTAAACAAAAGCATTTGAAAGAAATAAAAGAAAAAAAAGAAATATTACGATGGTGATGGTGATGGTGGTTTTAACTTTCAAGCAATAAGGGGACGAGCGAGGAGAGTAAGATACATAACATGATTTGAACAGAATCATTAATCAATTGTCAAAAACAATAAATAATTAATTAATCCTAACCCTAAGTATAACATGATATATAACGAGCAAGGGGAGTAAGATACAAGTATATAACATGATTCGAACTGAAATACTTCGTAGCAGATAATAATCCATGAACCCTAATCCTAAGTGTAATTAATAAGAAAATAGAGGAAACTAACAAAGGTTCATAAGTTGTCGTCTTTGTTAAACTGAAATATTTGAAAAAACGGCTTGAATTTTGTATTGATTTTAATCACATATATATAAATATATACAAAACATAACCTAAGTATAATTAAGAAGAAAATAGAAAGGAAACTAACAAAGGTTCATAAGTGGTAGTCGTTTCCTCATTCTCTTCTTCAGACTCCTCGTTGACGTCACGATCATCCAATTGCACCCGGTTCATATTCAATACGATCTTTTCTGAAAGGCAGTCATCATCACCATCACCATAGGAAACATCAAATTGCCGGCCATCAGATTCGTCGTTTTTGAACGATCGATCAAGATCAGAGATTGATTTTGAGGAGATCATTGTCAACACCAATTTTAAGTAAGATAAGTAAGGTTTTTTTTTTTTTTTTTTTTTTTTTGACGGGTGTCTTTATATATACCTCATTGTATTGTATTAATTTATGAATAATTCAACCAAAATTAGGTTAAATGACACATGTAGAAAACAATTATCTTAAGAGCGATTTCCATAAATAATGCTAAAATATAAACTAATTCCTCATATAAGTTGGTTTAAAAATTATTTCTCAAAATACCATCCATGTAGGATTAGTATAAGGTTCGTGGTTTTTGGATTCTCCGAGGCTAAAAACCGCTAATGACGTTAGCGGTTCATTTATTAAAACCACTAGTGACATTAGCGGTTTTAGTAAAGAACCGCTATTGTCATTTGCGGTTTTTACTTCAGCCAAGATGTTTCAAAGTCTTCTTATGAGTTGTATAAAAAATAATTAAAAAAAAAAGTCATCCCCCATCTTCTAGAGCCCGATACTGATTGTTCAAAAAGCACGATACTCCATTTTTACTAGTGGTACTCCCAAATCCTGACAACACTACTTCAAATTGGTGCCGAATTCATCACCTCCATTGTTGCCATCGTCGACGGAGTCACAATTTGCGAGAATTACCACTCTCACCCCTTGATACAAAGTACTTTCAGCTAAGGAATTGACAATGGTGATGGTGGTTCTAGCTAGTAGAACCACTAACGGGTTAAAGTGAAGAACCGCTAATACCATCAGAGGTTCTATTTGAAGAAGAACCACTAATACTGTCAGAGGTTCTATTTAAGCTAGAACCGCAATCAATATTAGCGGTTTAATACTAGCTAGGATTAAAAAAAACGAACCTAATAACTGAGCCTACGTGGACGGTATGGTGGAAATATTTTTTGAACCAACGTATATACGGAAATAGTTTACAATATAGCATTATTTGTGGAAATTGCTCATTATCTTAATTTTTATATAATTTATGAATAATCCGGGGGACCTAAACTAGTTGTTAATATTATACATCAATATCAATCACTCAATATATTAAAATTGTGTGTGTGTTAATAATCTATATTTAATTGGCTATCACTAAAATTTATTATCCTACATGGCGCGCTGGAAAAATTAAGTCTTACGGGGCTTTTTAAAAACTCGGGAAAAAACTCCCCTTTATATATATATATTAGATTTTGTAAAAAAAAATGGTAAATTAGTATTAATTTTCTTTTTATTACACTTAATAGTCCGCCATAATTTCAGTAAGTTTCAGGTACGATGCGGCAAGGTGCCACATTAGTAACCTCTCTAGTAACCCCTCCAACAATCCCTCGAGTAACCCCACTCAAGTAAGTAACCCCCCTAGTGCCCATAACCAAGTAATTTAAGTAACCCCCTAACCAAGTAAGTAATCCCTAATCCTACACCACCTCGAAGCCTTACACCCCACCACACCATAACCTGATGCACCTCACTCATCACACAAACCACTGCCCCACACCACCACCCCACGCCACTAGCCCCAATCCTTGATGCTTAAGTGGTTGCATGAAATCGAGTTTTGTAATATGTTTACTTCATCATGTGAGTGAATAAGCATTTGCAATTGGGAGACACAATAAAACAGTCCAAGTTAACAAATAAAAGGCATATCTTTGTTTACATCTTTAGGACTCTGGAATAATGTTAAGGGTCCCCTGACATGCAAGTTTGTATTATCAGGAAAATAGCTAAGATGGGGCATAAAGAAGTGTGGAAAAAATGAGTAAATGCTTCTATATGATCACTGAAATTCTGAAGAGCTAATGGCTTGCTTAATCCAATGCGTTCTGAAAGTGCAGGCTCCATTTGATGCGTATGTTTATGGGCTCTTCAAGAAATTCTGGGTATGAAGCTATTTAATCTAACCAAGACTAAATAACAACTAAATTGGTAGCTTTCTCAACAAATATCATATGCAATTCTCTTGCTAATGAGATACTAATTTGTATGAATGTTTTAGCAAGAGAATTGCTAATGAGATTTGCCGAGAAAGCTACCAATTTAGTTGGTTAGATTAAATAGCTTCATATTCCCGAATTTCTTGCACAACCAGAAAAATAAAATTTCACAATACCACCGACACTTTTCAAGAAAAATAACCTAAGTAACAACCCGTGCATCAAACGGGTCAAAAGGCTAGTTATAAAATAATGTAGCGTAAATAGTGAATGTACATGTTGAATGTACATGTTGATAAATTGAATTGCATTAAAAATTAATGATTGTACATGCTTTTAAAATAAGTTTAATGTATAATTTATTTATTAGGTTATTTACTAATCCGTAAGCTTTTTTTAAGGAAAAAAATTATTTACTAAGTTGGCTTACTTGACTATTTACTATGAACTAGTGTGTGGCCCGAGTAATGTCCCGGGCCATTTTATGTATATTATAAATGAGGTTTTAAAATAAAAATTATGTGATAAAATACAAAAAAGTATTAAATTGGTTACATTTGTTGTAAATTAAGTAGTCTAGTACAAATAATATAGAAATATTTAAGTAAGATCAAATAGATAATCTCAGAAACCATAGAATAATATCGGTGTGTCGTGATGCAAATCACTAACTTGAAAATGAATTTCGGCACAACCAATGTGCTCAAGTGTATTCGTCAGCACATTTCTTAAGGTTAACACACCACTTCCACACAAAGACACTTTGGGGTGGATGGTTTGAGTCAAGCAACTTATGCCCAATAGAAATTGTGTTTAGACTATTGTGCTTGATGTATTTTTCAAATGTAAAAAATAGAAAGAAAAAAAAAAAGGCTTCTTCTATTTATAGAGAAACATGAAAGAACATAGAACAAGAATCTCAAGGATCAAAGGAGAGGTGAATAAACATCTTAAACATCCTTTTAAATGAAGGGTTATGAGGGTTTTTATCAAGAGAATAATGGTGGCGTTTAATCACCTAAAATATTCTCTTAAATTGGGGGCTATAAGAATTACTCAAGAAATTAAGTGAGAGAATCCAAAGACCAAAACATTGGAGTCCAACTATGATATAGTGCCACATCATCTGCCTAGTCATGATGACACGTGGCGGCCTCATGTTTTGCCATTGAGTTTTAATATATATACTAGTTATTGGCAATTTTTTTACATTAAAATCATAAAAATATATGATAAATCAAATCTTTATAAATTTGATGTCAAAATATATACTACTCCATAATGCACAAAAATCTTTTACTCTATGATTACAATTTTATGAGTTAATGCACAAAATAAAAATGGAGTAATGTTTAATTTCTTACAAACTTTATTATTATGTAATTATTAAGGAGTTTTAGTCCAATTCAAGGGAAATTGTCATGCATATGAAGAGTTTATCAATTAAAATTAACATTAATACATGAAACTTAATGCATAGAGTTTTTCAATAATTAATGCTATGGTAAGATTTGGCGACGACACATCATATGCCAAATGACAAAATTGTTGACACATGGCAAAACATCATGTCTTGCCGCGAGTTTTAATATATATATATATATATATATATATATATATATATATATATATATATATATATACTAGCCTTTTGGCCTGTTTAATACACGGGTTGTTACTTGGGTTAATTATTTTCATATGTAGGAAGATTGTTTCATTTCTAAACTTAAAATAAAAAAAGAAAGAGGGTAGAACCGTGAAAGAAGATGAATGAATTTAGTTAGATATATACACGTGAAGATTGTGGGATATAAAATGACATTATTTTAAATTATATTTAAAGTCTAGCTAGGAGATGGAAAGACAATTTTTATTATAATTTATATGTTTATGTAGTGTGTATTAATTAAAACATTATTTTATTATGGTGGAAATGAAACACTTCATTTTCTTCCTTGAATTTTCAAATTGTATAATGCATAAAGACTTAAAAATAAATATTAAGGGAGATGACATGTGGCATATGGGGTGAATAGTGACTTGTGAATTGTGATGTCATGTGTCATATGAAAAATTTGTGGCTTGTGTTTTTAAATACTATATATATATATATATATATATATAATATATATATATATATATGTGTGTGTGTGTGTGTGTGTGTGTGTGTGTGTGTGTGTATGTATATATGTATGTATGTATGTATGTATGTATGTGTGTGTGGGCTATATAATTCAAATTATTATGTAGCTTAATGGTTTGGGCTAATAGAATCTGGGCTTGGTTTTATGATGTACACCGACGTTATACCCAGATATCTAAGTGGAGTAATACCTACGGTATAACCGTATAAGATTTAATTGATATAAACAACGTGTTCACCAAAAGAAAAAAAAAAGAAAAGAAACTAATTCTTAGTATTGTAGGTTTGTAGATTGGTTCATTTGTAGACAGAAAATAACTATAGATCAATAGAACTACTCCCTCCAATTTTCCTAGTCCTGTTCTATGTTCAAGCCCCCCTAAATAAATAAATAAATAATAAAATAAAATAATTTGAGCAAGCATAAACTTGTCTTTTCCGGTGGCCACATAGGATAATGCAAAATAATGAATACATGTTATCACACATGTATTTGTTGAGGAGCCATGGATTCTTAACCATATTGTGTAACCTACTGCATACTTCGCATATCATAGCTAACAATCTCTAACGCACTCTGGAGTTATTGATAGAAAAACCTAGCCCAACTTGTACCTGAAACCACCTAATTCTATGCAAGTATACAGTGATTCTCCACAAATTCATAGCTACACACTAGTGCAGCTAAGCTAACTGCAACAGCTATATATATGTACATATAGCACTTAAAAATGAACATGCGTTTTTTTCCCTTTCTTTTATCTTAACTCTCTCTCTCTCTCCGCCTTTCTAACCTCTATTAACAATCTCTACTTTGTTTTCTTCTCTATTCAAAATTTTATCTCACCTCTTTTGTTCATTTCCTTATTAATTAAATTTCTTCAATCTCTACACTTTTTTGTCCTTCTACTTAGGATATTTTCCAATTTGTCTCCATTATAGCATTCTCCATCGTCATCATCTTTGTCATGATATAACCACCAAAAACTAATTCACTTGTGTGACAATTAATTTTTAGCAAATACTTGGCCCACATAATCATACAATTCTATACATCCAATATTCACCCATTGATTAAATTTACCTTTTTCTTATCAATTCTTATCAAAATAATACGAATAATATAACCACCAAAAACATGAACTTTTAACCTTAGGCAGTGTAAACACAAATTTTAAATCTGCAAATAATATAGATTCAAAGCAAATGCAACAAAGTGTTAATTTTATTAATTGGATAATTTTGGGTACCATCTCTAATTTGATCCTCTGGTTCGATCTCCACTTTGATTTTGACATAATTCACGGATTGACTTTCTTGACCGAGGGCCGTAGAAGCTTGATCTTGATCGAAGATTTGATGCAGAACTTTGACTTATGTTGATAAAGACCTAGTTGTTGATGTAGACCTTTAACTTGAATTCTTGATTGAAGGCCGCTGAGGCTTGATCTCGATCAATGACTATTTGATGTAGAGGATCGAGAGGACCGAACTTATGATGTGTTTGATGGTTTGAAGTTCTTCTTTCATTCGTGTTTAGGCTTCGGTTTTCGGTATT